TATTCGTGTGATCTGAGTGCCATTCATCTAATAATGTGCAGTCAGATCCAAGCTATCTGGGGATATGTAGAAATGTGTGTTTTATGTACTAAATGTGTCAGTATGTAATTTGATGTCTTTTACTGTCTTTTTGTCTGCCATGTGGGTAATGGAGTTTGGCTCTGTCTTTGGAGATAATTAGATTCCTTCTCCAATTATCTCCAGGGCAGAAGGGAGGAAGCCAGGATGCATTGTGGGGATGTTTTACTTTTACTGTTTGAGCCAGGGGGAACAAAAGATACTTTTACTAACTTTTGAACCCCTGGTCTGATTCATGCCATTTTTTAATATGTTGTTCCCCTGAATGGATTGATTGTGAATATGTATTTTTATGCGAATGTGATGTATATTTTGGGAGTTCCTGTTTTAACCCTCAAAGTGAAGTGTCGTCTCATTATTGGGGGAAGGATTTATTGTATGCTGTTCCAGTTTGACTGCTAGGAGAGTAAACCTATTCGTATGGTTCCTATTCAACTGTCTACAGCATTCTTATGCTTGAGAGAAGGTGTCTGCTGCAGTGCTTGGAGTCCTCAGGAAGCGCTAGGAGCATCTTTCAACGGAGGTACCCAGTCGGGGTGCCAGGCGATCCGTTACATTGGTGGCAAGTGGTGGGATGGCATCCTAGTGCGAGGTAAAGCAGCTCAGAGACACAGTTCGTTTGGAGTTACAAATTGAGGGCAACGCTAGCACACGTGCAGCGCCCCTGGGAGCAGAGGTATCCAGCGACTTGGAGCAGACAAGTATGGAATGCTCTGGCGATGATTGGATGGCCGAGGTGAGGCAGCGAGTGGCCCAGTATGGGGATGATTTACCCATGGAGGTACGCCGGGTGATCTGGAACCAGGTCACGGCCGAGCGAAACACAAGGCTGGCCCGAGAATTCCGGCTGGCGAAAGAGAGAGAGTATGCTCAGCGGAAGGAGTGTTACAGCAGCCGAGTAGAGGCTGCATCCGAGGAGGCTAGCCGTCTCCCCCTGAGGCGGCCGCAGGAACCCGAAGTAGGGGTCCTCATAGACTGGTCCTGTGAGGAACCACAACAGGCAGGTGGAGATGGGACCGGCCCAGATCCCCAGCAGCAGCCGGAGTTGCCAGGTGCGGAAGCAGGTGGTCCTTACTCGCAAATGTTGAGGGACCTCACAGACTGGTCCTGGGAAGACCCACAGATGGCAGGTGGAGATGGGACGGCGGTCTCTCTACCGGCCCTACAGGGATGCTGGGCGGTCGGCCCAGATCTCCAGCGGCAGTGTGAGTCCCAGGGAGCCGAAGGGGTCGTCCTTCCTCCCCAGCGGCAGTGTGTACCCCAGGAAGCAGAGACCGTCTGTCTCGCACCCCAGCCGCATGACAAAATATTGAAAGGGGAGACAGTTGGTCCCCCTCTCCACCAGCAAAGAGAGTGTCAGGGAGAGGAGCAGGTTATCCCCTCTCCCCAGCGGCAGTTGACAGTCCAGAGAGAGGAGCTTGTTACACCCTCTCTCCAGCGGCAGCCTAACCCACCAAGGGGAGATGTTGAGCCCCGCAACTGTGCAGATGGGACCGTAGTCTCTGCGCTTACAGCCCAAGGGGTAGAGACGGTCGGTCCTGTTCCCCAGCCCCAGAGCTGTGTACCCAGAGGGGAGACGGTCGGTCTCCCCCTCCCACAACCAGGCTCCAATCAGGCTACTTCGGTGGTAGCGCTGGCACCAGGGCAGAGTACCGCTGGTCTCTGCCCACTCAGCAACCCACCAAGGCAGTCTACCAGCTCCCCACACAGCCGTGGTGAGGCACCTGGACATGGACAAGTTGCTACTTTATCCAGGTGGAGTAAACATTTATTGTGGGTGGGCTGTACTGCTGTTTGTGCTTCGTGGGTGGGTTGCTGGACTAACCAGGGCACTGACCGGCAGGAGGTCAGATACCCTGTTAGTCTGGGGGGCAAAGGGGAGAAGTGTGGCAAAACCGACCTCGCCACGTGTCCTTGGAGGGGGCTGCTTGCCCGCCTCTTGCCTTTGGACTATGGCCCTGCAGGTTAAACTGTTTATTTTCCCTGCAGAAAGGCTTATTCGTGTGATCTGAGTGCCATTCATCTAATAATGTGCAGTCAGATCCAAGCTATCTGGGGATATGTAGAAATGTGTGTTTTATGTACTAAATGTGTCAGTATGTAATTTTATGTCTTTTACTGTCTTTTTGTCTGCCATGTGGGTAATGGAGTTTGGCTCTGTCTTTGGAGATAATTAGATTCCTTCTCCAATTATCTCCAGGGCAGAAGGGAGGAAGCCAGGATGCATTGTGGGGATGTTTTACTTTTACTGTTTGAGCCAGGGGAAACAAAAGATACTTTTACTAACTTTTGAACCCCTGGTCTGATTCATGCCATTTTTTAATATGTTGTTCCCCTGAATGGATTGATTGTGAATATGTATTTTTATGCGAATGTGATGTATATTTTGGGAGTTCCTGTTTTAACCCTCAAAGTGAAGTGTCGTCTCATTATTGGGGGAAGGATTTATTGTATGCTGTTCCAGTTTGACTGCTAGGAGAGTAAACCTATTCGTATGGTTCCTATTCAACTGTCTACAGCATTCTTATGCTTGAGAGAAGGTGTCTGCTGCAGTGCTTGGAGTCCTCAGGAAGCGCTAGGAGCATCTTTCAACGGAGGTACCCAGTCGGGGTGCCAGGCGATCCGTTACAGTCACCTTATTCCTTCACAGTCCATGCTTTATCTAGGAGCCCTGTTCAACACTGCACTGGGGACAGTTCAGCTCTCAAGAGAAAGAGGAGTAAAGCTCATCAGAAAGGTGAAGGAGATACGACAAGTCAAGGTCGCCACAGCAGAGAAAGTCACGAGCTTACTAGGATCCATGTCATCAACCATAGGCTTGACAAGATGGGCACAATGGAGAATGAGAACACTCCAGAGGAATTTTCTTTCCCAATACAGAGGGAAGAATCTACTCCAGCCCATCAGGATTTCCACCCTGGAGTCAGGATTACTGTTTGATCCAGCACGTAGAACTGTATAGCACGGATGACAAATAAGTAACGTATTACCGGTCCTTAGAATGGCCGGATTTAATGTACATAGCATAGTCAAACACACTAACCGAGGTCAGGGAACACAGAAAGGGACGCAGCGATGAGGAAAGCCAGGAGTCAGGATAACAGAATATAGAAAAGTCAATAAACAAAGCCAAAGTCAAAAACCAGGTAGAAAACTAATAACAGGAACGCGCTCTCGGACAACCACAACAGGGCACTGAGCAGGATGAGAACTGGGCCTAAATACCCCTCCTTTAGTTCTGATAGGCTGTAACCGGCCTTTGACCCCAAAGTCAGTTACTAGGTTTCATTTGCATAATTGCTGCTCAGCATTAACCCTTCTGTGGATTAGGTTGCTGCTCGGCACAACTTTTTCTGTGTGGACAGTAAATGTCATTAACCACATTTCTATAAGCGGATGAATACGTGACACCTGGTCCATCTAAGCCGGACATGGTGGATGAACAAGAAGGCCCTGTTCTCAGGGTTCCCCCTGGGGAACATTCCCTGGATTACTATAATGACAGACGCCAGTCACTGGGGTTGGGGAGCCTACCTTCAGAACGTGGTCACCCAGGGGAAGTGGGAGTTTCATGCACACAAGACCCACTCAAACCTTCTGGAACTTCTGGCGGTTTTCAGAGCTCTGAAACACTTTCAGCATTTACTACAGCACAAGTGGGTGAAGGTGAGAACGGACAATGCTACAGAAGTAGCACATATCAATCATCAAGGAGGTACCCGAAGTCGCAGTATAGTAAGGTTGACGATTCCCCTGATGTCTTGGGCACAGAAGAACCTTGCGGGGCTAGTGGCGATTCATCTGCCAGGAGTGCAGAATACGGTAGCAGACTTCCTCAGCAGGGTAAGAATAGACCCAGGAGAGTGGAGCCTCTCAGACAAAGTCTTCAAGGATATTGTGAAGAAATGGGGTCTTCCTCAGATAGACATCATGGCCACCAACAACAATAAGAAGCTCCAGGGATTCTTCTCGAGGGGTCACGAACCGCAGGCCGGGGAGAGGGATGCCTTATCATGCAGATGGGAGTTCACAAAGGGGTATGCATTTCCTCCGTCTCCCCTCATATTTCTTCTACTAAGAAGTATTCAGCAGGAACCAGTTTTCATGATCCTGATTGCCCCATACTGGCCTCGCCGGCCTTGGTTCCCTCTTCTTCTGAGCCTCTGTCAGGAACATCCGTGGGATCTTCCAGCAGTTCCTTCTCTTCTGCACCTCATTCGGTAGTTTCCTCCCGAACCGCCAGAGCCTTAGTGATTATAGCCCTCCGTTCGCTAGATAAGGTAGACGAATCCTATAGTAATTCCAATAGCTTCACCAGATAATTCCCTTAGTGAAACACACGAATCCCCAAACATCAGCCGAAGTCAAGAAGAAGGGTACAAAATGAACTGTCCTTTAATGGGAGCACACAGCTTTTATGCAAGTCCCCATGCAAGGGGACAGCCCTCAGGGAGGGACAAACAATAGCCAATCATAAACAGTAAAATGTTAACACACACCTACAATTCCCTCCCCTAGCCCAGGAGATAATTTAGTCTGATAAAATAGTAACTTAATTATCTCCGGGCTGAAAAATCACTTTTTTCCCCAACTTTCAGAACACCCCTTTATACTGGGGGTATCCCCATAAATGTGTCCCCTGATAGCCCTGATCTGGGTGACCAACATATTCAAATTTCACCCAGATCGGTTCAGGGGTTCGCAAATTCTATGGAAGTCTTGTGTGACCGGCTCACCCTGGGCTGCATGCCCAAAATAGTTCCACGAATTTGGTGGGTTTTGCCGGTCACTTTCAAAAAACATAAAAACGAAGAAAAGTACCAAATGGATCCCTCTGGCTCCTAGCAGCGTTTGTGCCCCTCTGTCGAATGCACCAAAGTACCGAATAGCGCTCTTCTAGCTATTCGGTAAATAGAGTTCCAGCGTTCGTCTGTTTGGGACCGGTGTTCGGGAAGTCGAGTGTCCGTAAAACAGTTCCATGCACTCGACGACCAGGTCCCGCTGCCTTTGTTCGCATGAACAAAGATGGCCGCGGTTTTCTCTGCCACGTGGCGTTCGACTAACGAATGCTGGCCACACAGACAGAGGTAGCAATTTCACCTAAATCTTTGATGTTTAATGAGCCAGAGGGTGGTCCCGGTTCGGTAGTTTCATCTACCGAATGCAATAGGCAGTACATAGAGAATAAAAAGGGAATGCACACTGTAAATCACATAGGAATAGGGGGGGTTCTTCATACACAACCCTACATTCAAAGGCAAACACTACACACAGGTAAACCACTGATTTCAAATGGCAACAGTAGATTTACACACACAAACATGCTTACATTCGAACACACACACATACTACTCTGTGCTAAATACAACCAAGCAAGTATGGGCAAATGGTAGATCTCCAACTGGAGCCAAAATTGTGGGAGTTGTGCAACAGATGGTGATCTACCCTTTGGCCATCCATACGTTGGAGGGGAGGAGGGCAAAAATATTCTTCCACCAGAGCCCTCTCTACTGTAGTTTCCACCTAGGGACGTATTAGCCGCGAGGCAAACAAGGCATTTGCCTTGAGCGGCATTTTCCAGTGGGCGGCAAAAAAAAAAAGACGCCCCAAATGCCCAGGGCAAATGGCTTTTTAGCCTTGCGGGTAACTAAAAATCCTGCTGGGCTGGCGAGGGAGCACTTTCCCCTGAGCTCTTTGCTCAGCTCCCTCGCGCGCCACAGAGTGATTCCGGGAGCCGGAATATGACGTCAGAGAGCTCCCTAGGGCAGCACAAAACCAGGATCCACCACTGGTTCCCAGCATCCTTCTCTGACCATTTCTTCTGTCCTAATGTGCAGGAGATCCCTGCATTCATTTAAGACTTGCGTTTTTGTTTATAACAGTGTATAAAAATCTCACGATTCTTGCAAGCCTTTGGTGTCATCTGCCTAAAAGATTGCAGCAACTACATGTCTTCCATCACAGGGACTTAGAGGTCCTATTAGCTATGCATTAACTTGATCTCTCTGCACTGTAATAAGTCATGTAAAGTCATGTATCCAGGAATATCTATACCTTTTTCGTTCTTTGGCATTTTCCTCTGGCCCCACTAAAGTAACCATTTTTCTTCCTGTTATTTTGCTATAGCTACCAGTAAACATTATGTCCTTTATTTATTTATTTTTTATTTTTATTTTTTTACAGACTCTATTTACGGAAAGTAACAAAGTGATTAAAGGGACACTCCAGTGCCAGGAAAACAAACAGTTTTCCTGGCACTGCAGGTACCCTCTCCCTCCCACCACCCATCCCATGTTGAAAATGCTTTCCTATGGGGAATTGAGCAACGCTGGAGGTCCTCACAAACAGGCCCGGACTGGCCATCGGGCATACCGGGCAAATGCCCGGTGGGCCGCGATGGCCGTGGGGCCGAGGCCGGCAGGGGAGATCACAGGATCTCCCCGGCCGGCTCCTGCAGGGCCAGCGCTACCCGAGCGCCGGCCCCGCTGTGTGTCTCCGTGGGCCGGTGGGGAGATCAAAGATCTCCCTCACCGGCCCGCAGACACTAACACGCGGCCGCCGGCAGGAGAGGAAGGGATGGAGGCAGGAGAGAGGACCCGGCGGAGCTCTAACAAGCAGCTCCGCCCGGTCCTCTCGCGGGATTCTGAGCGTTGCCGCGGTTACCGCGGCAACGCTCAGATCTCGCGAGAGTGAACTCTAACCCGCAGGTTAGAGTTCACTCTCACCACTGGACCACCAGGGAAGGCAGCATGGTCCCCTCAAGGCTCCCCCTCCCAGGCAGAACGGCTCCCTCCCCCTCCCAGGCTAAAGGTAAGAAGGGGGGGGGGAACATAACTTTTTTTTAAATTATTAATAATTATTAATTATAATAATATTATAATTATTAATAAAATAAAAAATATATATTTAAAATAATTTCCCTAACAGCCCCCCCAGACACACACAGCCCCCCAGACACACACAGCACCCCAGAGACACACATAGCCCCCCACAGACATACACAGCCCCCCACAGACACACACAGCGCACCCCCAGATGCACACAACACCCTCAGACAGACAGCACCCTCACTCCCACACATATACAGCACATATATTATATAAAAAAAACCCTCAGTGAGTTAACAGACAAATAAAATTAGAAACCCAGAATGTGACGGCAGATAAAAACACCCTCACACACAGCACCCCTCTTACACAAACACGCTGCGCACCTCACACATACAATACGTCCAAATATATTTTATTTATTTATTTTTATATATATATATATATATATATATATATATATATATATATATATATATATATATACACAAAAATCAAAACTGAGGATGCACTCACAGGACTTGGTTAAAGTGAAAAAAGGGACTTTTAATTATTCCATGTGAAATGTACAGAAAAATCAATTTTCCATTCACATGGAATAATTAAAAGTCCCTTTTTTTCACTTTAACCAAGTCCTGTGAGTGCATCCTCAGTTTTGATTTTTGTATATTTCTGACGTTTTGGATATAGCACCCAGGCTATTAGTTCTTTCTTATTACTTAAAGGAGAGTGCCAAGCATCCTGTTTTTTTGAGATTATATATATATATATATATATATATATATATATATACACACACACACACACACACACACACACACACACTACAGCACCCTTCACACTGCACCACTACACACATTACGCTCCAGATACACGCTAGATCCCTTACCCTATATGCACTCTTAATCCTCTGCACACACACACACACACACACACACACACAATCTTCTATACACATTCTGGGTCCTTTACACACTAGATCTCTTACACACACACTGCACCACCTACACACACCCTACATTCCTTGTAAGCAAACACATACAACATTATCTAAACACACCCTCTCTACACACAGTAGTGTGTGTGTATAAGTGACACACACTACGTCACCTATACACACACACTACTGCCCGTATGCACACACTCGCTACATCCCCTATAACACTATGCCCCTATACACGCACTCTCTACAGCCCCTAGCCACACATATTACACACATATTACACCACAAAATTGACCTATTTACACAATACCACACCACACTCTACACACAGGCAATCCCACAAGCATGCGCCAAACACATGCACCATACACTTCCCTGGCCCTTTTGTCCTCTGGTATCCCACTTGTGGAGACACCAGAGACAATTTAAAAGCAAACACAGCGCAAGCATGTTATTACATTTGCTTGCGCTGCGCAGAACAAATACAGGGCCTTTCTCTAATGCTAGAGCTCTTCAGCGGGGCTCTGCGCATTGAACCAACATGCTCACTTTCTCTGGCACCGCCCCCTTTTTGGGGGGCCGCTCTAATTGAAAAATGCCCGGGCCTAATTTTTTTCCCAGTCCGGCCCTGCTCACAAATGTGAGGACTTCCAGCAACGCTCTAGCACAGAACCTGTGCTATAGACCAGGAAGTGCCCTCTAGGGTCTGTCTAGTAGACAGCCACTAGAGGAGGAGTTAACCCTGCAATGTAATTATTGCAATTTATGAAAACTGCAATAATTACAGTTGCAGGGTTAAGGGTAGTGGGAGTTGGCACCCAGATCACTCCAATGGGCAGAAGTGGTCTGGGTGCCTGGAGTGTCCCTGTAAGAGAAAAACAAACTCTTCAATTTACATTTATGCTGCCATTATGTTTTGGTATAGCTCCCAGTATGAAAGTATGACAAACCCACATAATGACATTATGTCACATGAAAATATAGGGTGGGAGCTTTGTAGATAAGGTTTAAGTTAATTTCTTTGTACCCATACTAGAATTCCAACTTCATAAAAGAGGAAATAAATATACATATATACACCCTCCCCCCAATCTGTGTCAATCCGAATGAAGAAGATGGAATACAGCGACATACAGCAGCGCATAAACGCAACCGTCGCCCGATTCTGGTCCAGGCTCAGAGAAAAGATGCATACACCTCCAACAAAACTGCATACCCTACTATCCAAAGGCGAGCAGAGCCACGAGCGCAGGGAACAGAGAGGCACCCTGGAAGCATATGGGGACGAAATGGCAGCATGTAAGTGTGACACAACACGCGCCACCCATCGCCAGGCACCCCAAGCACCATCTAGCCTCACGGAGGATCCATACTCACAGGTGCCCCTGTTGTAGAATTAAAGAATTCTTGAAATTATCTAAGCTAATGCTTTGGCAGGAAGAAATGTGCTGAATAATAAAATGTGTATTTACTAAAAGAACCTTGAAGCTAACAATACTAACTACTCAAAATGGCTGCCAAAGCACCCCTCCCATCGAGTGAACACCTCGTGCTAATAAGATGGCGCCTACATCTTGTGTCCACTCCCGTGTCAAGGATGACATCACCTCTTGATAGGAGGGTATCTAACTAACCACTTAACACCTGGACCAATCAATAGTGTCTATTTGCTGTTATCTTGAATTCTTCAGTGATGTAATAATGCCTTTAAAAGGGTCTGCGCACCCATTTTCTGTTAGAAGCCATTAAACTTCTCCGAAGTTCTTTCATTAACCTGAACTCTGTGTCTCAGTGTGAATTTACTTCTGCGTGCACGCAACTTTATTATCTTTAATTTGGACAGGAACAGATAGTCATTCAAACTAATTGGTTTGCAGTAAATTATCTACTACACCCCAAGCAGAATCCCCATCCCATCAGATGCCCAAACGCACGAAACCGAGCTCACGGTCTGGGGGCCTGAAAAAGGCTTAAATCAGCACCGCACCTACATGAGAGCGGACAGCGGACACAGCATGGGGCACTACACTTCAGAGCCCACCCCAGGCAGACAAAGGACTAGACCCTCAATAACACCGCAACCCACAGAATGGTGGCGCTCAACCAGGCAGAACCCTGGGACTGGTACAGAGCACGGAACTGATGAGACACCACAGCCACACACCTGGACATCTCTGCCCACATACCACTCGAGGCGTACACAGGGCAAGGAGAACTTACACAACACCGGGTCGCTGACCCTCCGATAGAGGGCATTGGCTGAAGGAGCCTAGGACACCACATGAGTCTTCCCCCAGCCATACCAATTTAGTTGAATGCCTGTTTTGTTTCTCTTTGATTTGCTTCCCCATATGTTTTGCATGCAACTCGACCAACGACTGCACTTAGACACAGAACACAGCACAGCATACCTAACTACACTTTAGGAACTAC